AATCAACATTTTTGACCAGAAGAAAAACAATCTGGTCTTGGACTTTTATTTTTATGTAGAAATGTTATGAAGACATGGACCACTGAACACCCACAAAGAGCTTCTCCCTGAAGGACAGCCATGCGCAAGTGCTGTCTGCTGACACAGAGTGTCTGACAGTGGAAGATACTGGCTACAAGTGTGTTTTATTTATCTAACACTATGTCGCAGATTGTTCCCCACACAACAGGAGTGGATTTAGCGCGTTATTTTTACCCACTGTCATTCCACAGTGTGGACATGCATTATTCCACTCATCCCCTGTTGTAGGTATTCAGGTTCCCAGTATTTTTCCTCTTATCAGTAGCGCTGCAGCAGACATCTGGGTATGTGTGGTGTTTACTGACGCTTTGTAATGCAGTATTTTTTAAAGTTTCATTACTTTTTATTTACAAATGGAACATATTTTTATGACTCTTTAGATTGATAGTCTTACAGGTCCTTACTATTTTGCTTCACTATAAATTCACATATAGAAATATACACACAAACAAGCATGTGTACAGGGTGAGACAAAAGTAGGTTTATAGTTGTGAGTATGTAAAACAGTGTATTCTTGCATTATTATTTATTAATTGTATTATTTTCCATATGACAACTATACACTTACTGTGTTGCACCCTGTGTGTATGTCCATAGGAGACTTTTGTGGTCCTCATGATTTTCCCCCAGCCTGCACATCCACCTCATCACACACCATGCCCACATAACTAGTTCTTCTCACCCCCACCTTCTACGTGTCTGTGCCTTTACCATGTCCCTCTCTATAATTCCCTTAGTAAAAGTTGTACAGTTTAGCTCAAAGTCATCTCCTCCTGAAAGCTTTTTCTAACCTCTCCAACCTTAAAGCAGGAAATCCCTTCTTGCTCTGTGATCCCACAGTAATTTCCCCATTTCTGTGTTGTAACCCCTTTCTCAGTCTCCTTTGTGTGACAACCAATAGCACACACAGCCATGTCCTCTGTTGGATTGTCAGTCTCTGGGTGTCAGGCACCATCTTGGCTTGTAGGAAAGGTTCAAAGAAATGCTAATTGGACTTGGACAACTTGTCTGAAAATAATAGGTGGTCAGAGCCCAGTATTTGCCTTTCAAGCCCTATTGTAACTAAATAAAGCAATATTGGGAAAAGAGAGCAATGTAAAAGAGTCCCATGTGGTATGGATATTTTGGCCGTAGGAACCTTGTCATTTACTTCTAAAACAGGGGTCAGCAAACTTTTTGTGTAAAGGGCCATATAGTATGTTAGACTCTGCCAGTAACAAGATCTCTGCTACAATTACTTAGCTTAACCATAGTGTGAAAGCTGTTGTAGACAGTAAGTAAATGAATAAACATGGCTATGTTCTAAATAAAGTAAAACTTTATTTACAAAAACAGGCAATGGACAGGATTTGATTTGTGGACTATAGTTTGCCAGCTCCTGCTCTAGAAGGTATCTAGCTACATTTACACTGACCTGAGTTAAATTTAAATTATGGCTCTTCTGCTTTGACTCTTCTGTTTACTATGTGACTTTGGGCAAACTACTTACTTCCTCTGTGGTTTTCAACAAATGAACATAAGATTCATCGTACCTCCTATGTGTTAGGCATCTAGTTCAGGGCCCAGCACTTACTGAATACAGAAATGGTAGCCACTAATTTGCCATGTTAAAGTAGTGGAACCATAGAAAGAGGTTCAGGGGACATGCATTCCTTTTTTTCTCAACAGAAAGTAGCAAAATCCTAAGGGAAAGGAGGAGGAAAGCTCTGGCTGGTATGGCTTAGTGGATTGAATGCTGGCCTGTGAACCAAAGGGTCATCGGTTTGATTCCCAGACTACAGCACATGCCTGGGTTGTGAGCCAGGTCCCCAGTTGGAGTCATGTGAGAGGCAACCAAGCATTGATATTTCCCTCCCTCACTTTTGTCCCTCCCTTCCCCTGTCAAAAAATAAGTAAGTAAAATCTTTTTTTTTAAATGGCTTTAAAAAAAGGAAAAAAAAATAGTGGATAGCAGAGGTTATTGGGTGACAGCATCAGGTATCACCAGCAGAAAAAACAATCCTATAAGTCATATACACTCCTCCATGGAATGAACCAGGACAGACAGACAGACAAGGAGCTGGACACTTGCTGCGGCAACAGCAATATTATTAGTAAAAGATTTTAAACATTGTTTTGAGTGCCTGGAACTCTGATATCTATGTAAAAGATAGGAGCCAGGCTTCAGGAATTACTGGCGAAATAGTTATACCTGCAAATTTCAGTGGTGGTATTGCCTCTTTAGCTAAAGTGCAAACAAATAGGAATCTCTGGCAACTTACTAACGTAATTATCTCCAAACATTTCAAATGACTATATGCAGTTGGCTCTTTCAAGAGCTAACACCTCAGTGCCTTTTATCCTCTGCCATCAAGGTAGAACACCCCTGTCCCTCCCCATAAAAAAGATTAAGTACAAACACTCGAAAACCGCACGCAGTGCCCTCCACAACTTGGCTCCAGCTTACTCTTTCAGCCTCACTTTTGATCTTTTTTTCCCTTGTATAGCACCAATGCTTTATCCAAGTAAGTTGATTAGCTTAATCCTGTCCCCATAACACTTCTTCCTCACATTTTGCTTATGCCCGTTCTAGTCCAATCTAATTCTCTAGACCTTTACAAACCCGTCAGTCATCCACATCCCCATTCTTTCAGTACCAATCATGCTGAGTCCTCTGCATGCAGCCTGGCTAACCCAGTGCCAAACAATACCAATATCCTCCTTCCAGCTGCCAGGAGCATTATCATTATTCTCTCTTTTTCTTGTGCTCTGCTTGTGACCTCTGCTCAAAGCTTTCTGTAAGTGCTCAGGAAACCCTGTGTTAATGAAGATGGTGTGTACACTAGCAGGAAACCTGGATTTGAAGTTTGAAGGCTTGAGTTTATGTCCTAGCTCCTCTATCATCTCACTGTGTGTCCAAGATGGGCAAGTGGTGTCATATCTCTGAGTCTCAGTTTCCTTATTAGTAACAAAGGTCCTAATAGCTACCTTGTAGAGTTTTTAAATGAAATGAGGTTAAATGAAAGCAGGAGTTTGGGAGTCCTTGCAGGGTACCTGCCTCACTCAGGAGACGGAACAGAATCTGAACTGTTCACAGAGTTTGGCTTGGTGTATCTCCCTAGTGATGTAGCAATTTTGAAAGCAAGAACTATACTTAAATATATTTGTGATTAATTACAGTGCCTGGCATGTTTATAAAAAGCTACTCAAATTTATTTGATTTGTTTTACATTGCATTTTAAAATCCCCATCAAAATTACGTAAGGCATGCTAGCTTCTGCTTTTTAATTTTGTAAGCTAGAACCAAGATCTTCATCAACATATATTGCAGAGGGATGCTTTATGATGGTTTGAAGATCAACTCAGTTTCATAAATTTTTAAAGCTTAAGTGAAAATTCCCAAGGTTCTTCAGAAATGTGTACGTACAGCTAAAATACCTTTCCAGCTTAATTTTTGCGGAATCAGTGTTCCGTACACAGACTGTGCTCCTGGCGCTCCACGTTGACGAGCACCTTCACCCAGTGCTCCTGCTTAAGTTTAAGCCCTCTCTGTCTAATTTATATTCTTCCCTACAAGAATGTAAATTGAGCCTGAAGACATATATTCCTGATGATATGTAGAGAATATAATGAAAATTATGCATGTTGAATTATGAAAATATTTCACACATTCTTACACGTGTCCAAGAGGCAGGAGAGTCTGTAGACTATTTTATAATGCATTGTTTCATTGATTGTTCAGAACAGACGCTGTAAGGCAAGTACTCTCTCCATTTTGCAGATCAGGAAGCTGAGTCCTGCAGAATTTAAATATGTAACCTGGGTCACAAACTTAGGGCACAGGTGCTAAGACATGGAGCCAGGTTTTCCTACAGTAAGTGTACTGTTATCTGCCTTCCACCACAGGCAGCTCACTCCCTGAAGTTAGTATGCTCCACAGTAGCTATGTAGGGCCTCCTTTTAAGGTCCAAAAATGGGATTTCAGTAGAAATTTTTCCTTTGTTTCTTGGGGGGGGGGGTTCATGAAAAAAGTCTTATTGTTTGAAAAAATCTGATAAATTGAATAATTCTACCATGAAATACATGGGTATAAAACATATAAGTAAAATTAACTCAAATCTTGTACAAGGCACTTATCTTTCCCTGTAAGGTTTTAGTAACTGAATGCGATTCCTCGCCTAAATCAGAGACTGAAACAGAGCTCGTCCGCCCGACTCGGAGCCCTGCCCATGGGGGTAAATGAGTTGCTGTGCAAGTTCAGGCACAAAATACACTTGCAAAGCAAGGCATTATAATTTTCCTTAAAACCATAAAGATCACAGATAAATCAATCAACTGTCTCAAGTTCTGTCTACCCAAAATGAATTATTGGGTAATTAGCAACACTGGGAAAGTTTCATTTTAGAAACTACCATATTCGTTACAAACAACAAGCCTCAAGATTTTATAAAGTTCCAGGAGAGGTACAAATTTAGTCCTTACTGCAGACTGGAACATTTAAAAGTTAATTAATTCTCTGACATTCAACAATGTAACCAAGTTACTTTATACGGTTGTTTGAGCACAATGTATATAATCTTCTGATTAAAATAAGTGCTAAAATCATCAGTAGCAATTATTTACCCACCTACTGTCCCTAATAGCTCCTCCACAGAATCTGAAGAGATTATTCTCCAGAGAGTTATACAAACATTTGGCAGTAAGAGATGGTGGAGAAGCTTTTAAGTTTTAGATTTCAAAGTTAGAATTTCTGAACAAAAGTGTGTTTTAAAAATATTAAATTGAAGAAAAATTCTAAGAAGGTTCTGTGCAGCAAAATACCTGCTAATTCACTGTTGTTTACCCCGTGGTTTCTATTTAAATGTGTGCTATTGTCGTTCATGATTTATTCCTACTTCACAGGATAATGAATCCAGATTTTATTTCTGTTTTTTGTCCAGACTTGTACAGCAGACAAAGTGTTTGAAAATCAAACAAAAAGAAGATTTTGACTGGGGTGAACTCTTCAGAGGTAAAAACAAAAACACTAGCAAAAATGCAGACTGTACTTTTTGTTGTGAAGATGTCTTATTTGTTTGTTTGGCTGGTTTTACCATTCCAGGAGGGAAAGGTGGAAGGGACCTGCCTAGATGTCAACAGACTTGTGTCTAGCCCCAACTCTGTGAATAAATTCTGTGACTTCACTGCTCTAAACTTTAATTTTCTCATTTTTAAAGTGAAAGGACCGGACTCTGTAATTTCTGTGGTACTCAGTTGCAATAGGACAAATCTAAGCCTATGGAAGTGACAGTCTCTGGTAGAATCTCTTTCTGCCATCTGCAAAGGGCACAGAGGGAAACCAGAGTGTGTAAGGTGGGAGACTGGGAAATGTGCCTCATTAGTAAGGCAGGCGAGAAGGTTATTGGAGAAAAAAGTTTAATTATTAAAAGCTGAGGGATTATCAGGGTATAGGAAAAAGAACATGTTTTTATTTAATTATGTTTCTTTTCAGTCAAGGCTCAGTATAGACAAAATCTCATCTATAATTTGAGGTTATATTGTAACAAGCTAAGGAATAAATTTTCCCTTGGTTGTGTTAATTTAGTGAAATGAATTTTATTTAGTCAGACATAGGTAATTTGTAAATAGTATCATTATGTCTTTAACCATAGTAGTTCCATATGTTTTTATCTCCCAAAATATGGTAGGAGATCTGTTTATCTTCTAGAGAAAAAAACAAATTAGTGAGTTTTCTGCTGACTTGGCCAAAAGTACAACAAATTAGCCCAATTTGGTAGCACTGCACTTCATTTCTAATGCGATCACCCATTCTACTTTCCTTAAGAGAAAAAGAATGTTCTTGGCAGTCATTGAACAAAAGGGCTGTCACTCATTTCAGGCAGGACCCAGGGTCAGCTTGTGGTTGAAAGAATGTGGCCACAAAGGGAGGAGGAAATTTTTCCTCAGAAAGTGGAGGGCAGTTAAATTACTTTGGTTTCTGTATGTATCTCCACATTTCTCCCTAATGGGAAGAATTTCTGTGTGATGTAACTGCGCTTTACATAAAGTAAATAAGCGACCCCTCTGAAACTGCCTCATACAAGTGTTCTAATCCATCTTACCAAGCCTTCCTTCCATCCACAACGTGTTTTGGAATGATATATGGAGCCCCAAAGAAGTGTCAGTATATTAATTCACATTTTAACACTTTCGAAAATATCTCCACAGATTATTTATGCATTTCTGTTAAAACAGATAGACAGTTTTGTCATTCACATAGTAAAAGTAGTGACGAGGATCACTTTTGTGTAAACAGAAAATATCACTAGCAAAATGCACTTGCAACGTGTGAAAGATGAAATCTCCAACTTGTGTAGTGTGTACTTGTTCCTTTCTGCATCATTTATGAAGAGATTACAACGACGTGCCTTCGTTTATGTGCGCATACACTGTGCTCTTTAGCGCAAACGTGTGTTCCTCACAGTGCAGGTCTGTGTTCGCAGGCAGGATGGTCACGACACCGGGCATGTGCTGAAGCACCTGCCTGAGCAGAGCAGTAGTCAGCGGCCTGGGGCCCACAACACTCTCTTGTTGAGAATATGCCTCAGGGATCCATTCAAGTCCAAGAAAATTGACAGGATTAGCACCTGCTTTCTATGCTGGCCTTTTGTCACACAAACTGGTTCTTCCTTACATTGAACTAGCAATCTTCATTGCTGTGATTAAGCTCATTTTCTCTGATTCTAACCTGGATGAGACAAAATAAGGAGAATAAGTATGTTACTGCTGTGATAGTGAATGATTATTTGATATTTTCCTTTTATTTTTTTATAAATCTGAGCATAATTTCTAAATCTTTACCTTTGCTTTTTGTCTGTTTTTTGGTCTGACCATAGATTTGAATAAATGCCTTCTTAATTCATTAGTTTTGGGGGGTTTTTTAAAGAAAAGTAGACTAAAATTTGTTCTTTGTTTTCTCTAGAGGGAAAACACTATACCTTTGACTTCTTTTATAATTTTTTTTATTTTTCATTTCCGTAATTAGACATTTATAAGACTAAGTGATCACCCTGATAACTCAAGTACCCACCTGATAACCATACACAGTTATTAGAATATTACTGACTCTGTTCCTTATGCCGTACTTTACATCCCCATGACTGTTCTGTAACTACCAGTTTATACTTCCTTTTTAAAATATTGTTGACACTATTTCAGGCATCCCCCGTTTATGCCCTTCTCCCCCTCCACTCACACTCACCCCCGGGCCTCACCACATGTTTGTCTGTGTCCCTAGGCTGTGCATGTGTGCATGCATGTTCTTTAGCTTTGAATTTTAGATGTGCACACAGGCAGCTTACAGTCTTCGTATCTTGGATATATTTTCTGTTTTTACTTGGAAACATCTTTATTGTCTAAATAATTTTATTCAACTATAATAAAAAGTTTTAAAGTACAAATTGGTCGAGAAAAGCACGATTATCTGAAAGTCTGTTTAGTAGTGAAAGGACAGAAGTACAATAAGTTGGAGTTTGTCTTACTAAGGCTTACAAGCAAGCTCGTTGAGTGTCATACCTAAGTCATGGCAAATGGTAATTAGCCTTTGTGCCTTGTGTTAGGCAAGTAATGCATGAACATACAGTTGACATTTTCGGAGGTACCACACATCCCTTCTCCAGGGTTGAGTTGGGCATCTGCAGTGGCCTGTCAGGTTTTTACGTTTGTTCATGAGTGTTCCACAGAGGCCTACACAAACTTTCCTTTGACCATAAGTTGAGAGAGGCTAGTGAAAGTGCATTTACATTAAGTGTAAAGGATCTGGTCATCTAAGTGGTCTGTCCTTCTGCCCCCTGAGAGAATTCTTGAACCAAAGCTACATGGTACCCCAGACAACAATGCTGTCCCAGCTGCCGCGTTGCGCCGCCCCAGGGGATACCTTTGGAATTGTGGAATGCTTAACAGAAAATGGTTTCTTTTTTACTGTCAACTATTTTTGGGCTCAAATGTGTAACTAGTGCTTTCTTCCTTAAAAATCAAAGAATTTTATAAAGCAAAAAATGCAAGAGATAAGTCCTGCTACTAAATGCTTCATTAATTTTGGATATAATCACTTTTTTGTTTTCATTACAAGTATAGAATCATGTTATATTTGGTGATGTAAAATTCACTTTATTTTTCCACTTGCTGATATAGTTTATCACTGCATATACAGTACTAAATTCTTTTTTTAGGTAAAAATTGCAGCCACACCCATTTAATTGCCACTTGCATCATGAAATAGAAGCTGACTGGGCTTCTGTTTCATGCTATACAGTACCCAGCTCCTGCCAGGGCAATTGTTCTTCTGATTTTGGTCGCTGCCAGTTACTCTGTCACTGTTCTGAACATTCTGTAAATGAAATCATACAGTAGATTTCCTTTTATGGTTGACTTCTTTTGCTAACATGATGTTTGTGAGATCCATCTAAGCCATGGTTTTTTGTTCAAATTATTGCATATTACTGAATTTTATGATGATATCACAGTTTATGCATCTGAATGTTCATTGCTTACAGTTTTTCTCTTACCAATGATGCTTACTAGAAACATTCTAGTATGTGATTTGGTGGGTATGTGTATGCATTTCTGTAGGGTATGTATCTAAGAATGGAATTTCTGAGTATATGGGTTTGCCTAAGTTCAACTTCAGGATCTACTGTTGAATATTTTTACAAAGTGGCTGTAACAATACATTTCTCCCAGCATGTTTCGGCAATTACAAGTACTCTGTAGCCTTGCCAGCAGTTAGTTTTTGTCAGTCTCTTTAGTTTTAGCCATTCATTTGGTTTTACGGTATTCATGCTTTTCATTTTGCATTTCCCTGAGGCCTGATGAGCTTGAACACATTTCAGTGTTTATTGCTATTTGAATATCTTCTTTTGTGAAGTATCTTTACCACTTGTCTTTTAGGCCATCTTTTCCTTTTCTCTTTTTTAATCATTTTTTATTGTTATTTGAATACAGTTGTCTCCATTTTCCCATTACCACTTTCCTCCACCTGACCCCCATTTGGCTTAGTCTATGGGTGCTTATACATGTTCCTTGATGACCCTTTCTCTTCTTTCTGTTGTCTCCCTCTGCCATCCCCTCTGGTCAGTTTGTTCTTTATTTCAATGTCTCTGGTTATATTTTGCTTGCTTGTTTGTTTTATTGATTAGGTTCCAGTTAGAGGTGGAATCATATGATATTTGTCTTTCACCGCCTGGCTTGTTCCACTTGTCATAATGCCCTCTAGATCCATCCATGCTGTCACAAAGGGTAGGAGCTCCTTCTTTCTTTCTGCTGTGTAGTATTCCATTGTGTCAGTGTACCAGTTTTTTGATCCACTCATATGCTGATGGGCACCTAGGCTGCTTCCAGCACTTGGCTATTGTAAATTGTGCTGCTATGAACATTGGGGTGCATATGTTCTTTTGAATTAGTGCTTCAGGATTCTTAGGGTATATTCCCAGCAGTGGAATTGCCCGTCAAAAGGCAGTTCCATTTTTAGTTTTTTGAAGAAATTTCATACTGTTTTCCACAGTGGCTGCACCCAGTCTGCATTCCCACCAACAATGTACTAGGGTTCCCTTTTTTTTTTTTCTTCACAAACTCACCAGCACTTGTTGTTTGTTGATTTGTTTATGATGGCTAGTGATGCTAAGCATCGTAGCATATGTTTCTGGGCTCTCTATATGTCCTCTGTGGAGAAGTATCTGTTCAGGTCCTTTCCTATTTTTTATTTGGATTGTTTGTCTTCCTGGAGTGGAGTCGTGTGAGTTCTTTATATATTTTGGAGATCAAACCCTGTCTGAGGTATCATTGGCAAATGATTTCCCATACGGTTGATTCTCTTTTCATTTTGCTTATGTATATTTTAGCTGTGCAGAAGCTTTTTATTTTGATGAAGTCCCATTTGTTTATTGTTTCCTTTATGTCCCTTGCTCTAGGGAACACATAGATGAAAATATTGCTTCATGGAATATCTGAGATTTTCCTGCCTATGTTCTCCTC